ATAAGGGACAGAAAGAGGTCTGCTGTTGTTACTTGTTGCCTGCTGCTTGTGCTGCCTTCTGCCTGCCATGAATTGTTTCTCCTCTGTGATGCCCCTCTGCCATGCCACCTGCCTTGGAGCTAGCCAATTATGGACTGAGACCTTTAAAAACTGTGAGGCAAAATAAACCTTTCCTCTTTTAATTTTGGGTGTTGGGTATTTTGTCTCAGCAATAAGAAAAGTAACTAAGACAGACCATGCCATATTTATCTCCCTTCCTTGTTAATTTCTGGGAATATATACAGTTTATACTTAAGAAGAAATGTCTCTGGTTTGATTCAATACCAAATACATATAAGAATGATATGGTGAACTAAGCATGGAGTATGGAGTGAGACGGTCATAAGTGTAAATCTTGGTTCCACAGCTGATCATGTAAGTTTGGGCAACTGTTCAGTATCTCTGGGCTTTGGATTCCTAATCAGTAAAATGGGAATTATTTCCACCTAACTCATAGAACTGTTATGAAAAACAAATGAGACTATAGATAAATTGCTTAGTACAATGCTTGATATCCAGAAGGTCCACAGTAAATGGCAGTGATTTTTAACAACTTTCCAGACAAAATAGAGATGTGTTTTTTCATGAGAATTTAAATGAAAAATAATTCCATTCTATTGGAAAAATGATAATAGATAAAACATGCCAAGATTCTTTCCTTTATTATAATGAATCAAGGATATATCAAATTCAATTTTTTAAAAAATTATCCCAAAGGACTAGTAACCTTGGTTTATATTTTCTTTACCAGTCACTTTTATTTCCTAAGCACAACATTTGCATTAAAATGCTAGTAAGTAAAAACAGGATTTTACAGTATTTGTGATAGCTTGGATCTCAATGTGATAATTGCAATTATATCCAGCAAAGGTACCATTTCTCATTGTTTTATTTCCTCTTATATATCAGCTATGTTTTTAGTACCTTCTTCAAGTAGAATAAAACCACTTCCTTTGAATTTATGGTTCAGAGTCCATGAAAACGCTATCTATAGCCGTTAGGTCCCTTTTTATCTTGAGGTTACTAATTGAGATTCAGGAGGATGGAGAATAGCAGTCGTCCAATGGATGCAGAAACCCTTTTAAGGAATGTGAAAGGCTGTCACATAGAAGAGAAAACAGACTCATTCTACACAGCCCGGGGGTGGGAGCAAGCAGAAGTTTGACTGAGACATTCCCTGGCGCAACATTGGGAAAACCTGTCCAGTCTGAGAGTTCCTGAAGGTGACAGGGTCCTCATCACTAGGGCAACCCAAGCTAAGGCCACCAGCCTGGATGACATGCTGTTTAAATGACCCACCCACCGGTGCTAATGTCACTGTCCGCCTGGGTTTAAATTTCGTCTCTCGACATTGTTATAGATAACAGTAATGGTCACACATTGTGAATGTACCAAACACCACTGAGTTGGTCACTTTAAAATACTTTAAATAGATTTTATGCTATGCAAATTTTTACACAATAACAACAAAATGATATCAGTTGACAGAATGATCTCCAAAGCCACTCCTAGCTGTAACATTTGATGCTCCGTAGAGGGAGCACATCACCCAGGGGACTGATCACTAGACTCTATTTAGTCAAATAACAGGCCATGTGGACACTAACAGAGGAAAAATGGTTATTACATTATGGTTCAGGCACAATACGGAACGTTACAAGTCCACAAGAAACACGCTCATGAAAACATATAAATGCTCTGGGAAGATACTTGTGGTGTGATGTAAAGCACAAAAAGGAGGATTTAAACTACATGAACTGTTATCCTCACTATAAATATGGATATCAGAATTAATGTTTATCTTTGAGTTGCGGGATTACAAATGATTTTGATTCCTTTATATATTTCTCAAAATGTCTACAAAGAGCATGAATTACTTCTACCATCTAAAATAATAAATAAGACTCTTTAAAATATAAAAATAAATAGTATTTAGGATTTTGTAACCCCCAAAGTGAATTATGATGTGCTTTAAACTAGAATGGCGGTAAAAAACAAAACAAAAAACAAAAAACCAGAAAGAGCGCTGGATTAGAAGAATTTATTCATAATCCCAGTCCAGCCAGAGGAAAGAGGCGCTCCATCTTCCTGAGCCTCAGCTTCCCCATCTGGAACAGGGACATAACCACAGTCTCCTTCGTGGAGTTGCGTGAAGAGCAAATGAGATCACAAATGTGGGACAGGTCTGTTCATTGAGTTTGTTCCCTGAGCTGTTCTCATTGTCACCTGGAGTATTCAAACTATACATTTCCAAGTCTTCCCTTTCGACAAAACTTCCTAAGTGCTTCTCATGTCACTAACTGCCACTTATCCAGTAATTTAAGAGCTAATTTCTGGTCAGAGTGTCATTTTTTCCCCTCATTTTTCTTCCTACAACCTTACTGGGAAAACACTTCATTTCATCTGAAAAGTAACCACCTGACTTTTATTTACTGGCTGAAGCTCAAGGTGAGGATGACAAAACCATTTTTGCTGGAGGAAAATTGCACAGCCCTGGGAGCACCTGCCTCTTCCAAGGAATGACGGCTTTCCTCTGTCAGAGAGAGCATTTGTTTCCCCCAAACCGTCCTGACTGTGACCTTTAAAAGAGATTTTCCCTCATGCTGCTCTGTTCTGTCCTCTGCCTGTCCTTGCTTTGAGACTAGTGTTAAGATCTACTTAGAAGGAACTGTGAACAGGACTTCCGGGGCTTGCTTTTCACATGAGGGAGCTCTGTGTCCCATAAGCTGGCTCCTAGGACTGGCATGGAGAGAGGACCATTTGGGCAGGGCTGTCAAGCAAGCTGTTTCTCTATTGAACTTCTTTGCCATTTAAAGGGGTTTTATGGGGCACCAAGCATCATAATGCTGATACTTTCATTGGTGCTCATATTGCTATTAAAAGTGAAATTTCCCAATTCAAAAGTTCAGCGAAATAGTCCCCAAGCACCTAACATGTGCCAGGTCCTACAGATATAAGAATTGAATAAGATGTGGCCTGTGCCCCTAAGGAGCTCACAAAATAATGGCAGAGGCTGGCATGAAAACCAGTGCAGCGTGGATGTGACAAGGGGAATGCCACCCAAGTCCAAGGCCATCAGTGTGGTAAGGGAGACACCTTGGCAGGTTTTGAAAGTGGAGCAAAAGTGTGCCAGGTAGCTAGGACCAGGGAAAGCAGGTACAAAGTCACTGACATGCCCCAGCCTGGGGACCAGTTGCATGCTGGCTTGGACATGGGAACATCGCGCAAAAGAGCATTGCATAAAGAGAAGAAGAGTAGAGAACGGCAGTGGTGTTGAGCTCAGTACCATGAGACAGTGCTCTAATTCTCCTGGGATCAACTCATCAGCCAGGCAGCATTCATTGGCCATGTCTAACATGTTCAGTGTCCTATTTCAGGAGTGGACACAACAGGTGAGAGGAGATCTCTGTGGTTCCAGCTCTGGGCGGGCCAGGAACAGGGAAGGGAGCCAAGCAGCAGGTATAGAAAGAGACACTGGGTGCAAAAGGGGCCCAGGAGTGTAGTGGCTCCTGGTCTGTGATTTCAGGCCAGACCAGTGGGAGGAGGGTGGGAGGGACAGTGTTCGAGGCCTGGCAGGAATGGTGTGCCTTCCCAGGCAGGAGCCGAAAATGAGGAGGCCTAGGGGAAAACCAGGAAGGCCCTTGAGTGCCAGAATGAGGACTGCAGTCTTGGGAATCCTAGATTGTTAAGGAATAAATGGCCCAGCCAAGTGTGCTTTAACAGAGGCTGACTCAGATGCCAGCCTGGCAGATGAATTAGGAATGGTGTGGTGAGTAAGCTTAATTGCGTCAACTTGACTGGCTTGAGAACCGCCTAGAGGATTAGTGAAGGATGCTTTTGGGGGGTGTTGGGTGGGTCATGGAGGTGTAACTTTGGGTACTGTACATGGTCCCTGGCCCCCTCCTCTCTGGCACTGTTCCCCTGCTCTGCTTCCTGGCCACCATGAACTAAGCAGCTTTGCTCCACCACACCCTTCTGTCATGAGGCTCCTGCTTTGGAACCAGCAGACCATGAACTGAATCCTCTGAAACCATGAGCCAAATTAAACCTCTCCTTCTTTGTTGTAGATGTTAGATTTTTTTTTCAACAGAAGGAAAGCTGGAGGCAGGAGGACCTGGTCTGCAGCCTAAGTGGGAGCTGACAAAGCCCAGGCAGAGACAGAGTGGGTGTGAATTTAAGGACTAAGGAGGTAAAACTAGCTGTGGAAACAGAGGAAGAAGAGGAGTTGGCATTGACCCTGGTTTTTCCTGCTTGGGTTACTGACAGATGGTAGTGACACTTAAGGAGATGGGAGACACAGATTTAGGGTGAATGGAAATGACATGTAGGTCTGAAGGTGAGAAGGGCCTTCCAAACTAGAAGTGAATATGAGAGTTATTAGCTACTAATTTTTTTAACTATCAGAATAATTTTAGAATAAAATCTCCAGACTAAGGAATCACAACACTGTGATCATTTTTTGTATGAGTTCCAAATAAGAAAACAGTTAAGCCAGAAAATGTAATTGTTCCTATTCCTAAAATTGGGTAACTGATGCATCTTTGCAAATTGTTCATTGAACTGTGCCTATGGCTTCTTGCCAGCCCTCAATGAGATTTTTATATTTCTTAATTATTCAATTACTACCCATAAGTAGGAGTTTGAAATCAAACCCAGACTGCTCCATAGTAGAGTATTCTCTTAGACCATGACTATAGAAAAGGAAGTTCTCCATATTGGGAAACCAGGCTTGCAGAATGGAGGAGGCATAAATTTCCAGTCATGGCTCTGCCCTTGGTTCAAGTCCTGGATTTGCTGCACACTAGCTATGTGTGCCTGGATGGGTCACTTCCCAGAGGTCCGTTTTGAGGTCTGTAAAATAAAAATAGTGATAATATCCACCCACTGGGCTTGCCACAGATCTCAGGGGAAGGAGCAGGTGCCAGAGGAATGCTACATCATGACTTCCTTGTATCTTTCAGGTCTCAGCAGCTTGAGAAAGCATCAGCTGGGAAGAAAGACTCTCTGGATGGTGAGCTGGCTGGCACCCCTGATCCCAACCCCGAAGCCCACCTGCCCTCCATTTGCCTCAAGCAGGTGTTCCCCAAGTATGCAAAACAGTTCAACTACCTGCGCCTGGTGGACAGGATGGCAAATTTGTTTATCCGGTTCCTGGGAATCAAGGGGACAATGAAGTTGGGACCAACTGGCTTTCGTACCTTCATAAGGTCAGTGTGACTGGCCTCCTCTGCGGGGTGGAGTCCAGTCCCCAAACTGGCTGGTCAGGTCTCCCTGACTGCTCTTGGGGAACTCTATGATGCTGGATTAATACCCTATCTCAGGTTGGATTGGCCTCGTGGTGGGCAGTTGCTCTGGCATGTAGTTGATACTTGTTTGCTGCATGAGTTAATGAATGACAGACCTTGTGCTCCTTAATCTGGGGGGTCTCACAGTGGTATGCAGTTGTGGGCTGAGTGTTTATGAGGCCACTACAGAGCAACAAGGCATCTCTTTCCAAAGTGTCAGTTTCAGGAAGGAAAAGTTAAATAATTCAAATGATAAATAATGTAATATGTTTATTCTAATATAACAATAACATGGTTATATTATAGAGAATAATATAAAATTTGTGTAAATTTTAAAGATAAAACATGTGATAACAAAGAAGTGGGACATTTGCTGCAGCCTCCAAAGTAAGGAGCTTCCTAAATTAATCATTAATTTGCTTCTACCCTGTGGGGAAGATCATGATACCCCTGAACCTCAGTGACTTTCTCCTGTGAAGCAGATGAAGCTACCTATGGCCTAGGTTTGTGTGTATGAGTGACATTAGTTAAGACTGGATAGGAACATCTAGTGTGTGCTAAGTGATCAATAAATGTTAGTTTCTTCCTACCATGTTCAAAGCATATATATTTATATAAAACTTATGTGCAAAGGGTCCTATACAGAATATGGAACAAGGTAGGTTCCCATTAAGAGTGTGCCAAACAAATGACTCTAGACCCCTTCAACAAATATGAATGGGTACCACAGTAGACTTCCCCTTAGCAGTTATCTATATACCTCAAAAAAGTCTCTGCCAACCCTCAATGATGCTGTTTTTCCTTGTTGTTGGTTTTAATATTTCTCCCTTGCACCTCAAAATCACGTTCTTCACAGTTTTATTCACTAAAGGAAATAATTAGAAATCTTGATTCAAAAACCATTCTTGTCAAAGACTTTTCTTCAAATAATGTGTATAAATTCTACTCTAGCTTTCTGATAGTCTTTTTTCGGTTTTTACTATTAGTACATGTTTGCAATATACTCCTTGTGGAGAGTTAGGACATGTACATAATGCATCTCAATTCTTTTTTTAACCCCTTTTCCTTCCTGCCCCACTTCTTGATTTCTGTCCCATTTGAAACAGATCAGTCTCCCTATTTCCTATTATATATCTTTTGTTTTGCTCTTTATTTATATTTTTGGTTTCATGCGATATCTAAGCTTGTGTGTCTGATTTTGCTTACATTGTGATCAAGGTGCATCCATTTTCCTACAGATGACTCAAGTTTATCCTCCTTAATGGCACAGTGGACTCCATTGTGGATAAATACCTCATAGGGTGGTAAACAAAAGTACTGGCAAAAATTTCTGGCATTTGAGTAAACCTTAAGGTGTGTGTGAGGTGATTTTGAGAAAGGCTTTGTGTTAGTTTCAGGGTGAGAGGCTTGGGGGAAGGGAAGCCAAAGAGCACAGGTTTGGGGTTGGATCAGATTTGGCTTCAGGATCAAGCATATTACTTAATAACTGTGTGGCTGTGGGCAAATCCCTTATCTTCCCTGAGTCTCAGTTCCTTTGTCTGTAAAATGAGGATAATCATTCCTGCCTTGTGCAGTTACTGTGAGTTGGGGTATAACATATCATAAAGCACCTGGCCCACTGCCTAGTTCATAGGAGTCTTGTGATTACTGTCTCCATTAGGCAGTGGGAATTTTCAAGGAAGTCAGCAGGGACAAGTTATTATTTGCCCTTATAATCTCTGACTCATGTAGGAACTGCATTTGACTTTCACTAATAAAAGTCTTATTCAGAAATGGCATAAATAGTGAGTTTTCTCTTATATAACAAGAAATTTTAGGGCTGGCTATTGAGTACAAAATACAACCAGTGTCCCACTGTCTGTCTTTCTGCTCATCCATTCTAAGCACGTGCTTTCAGTTTCAGAGTCGCCTTATGGTCTCAAGATGGCCATCATGGTCGAGCTCCAGGTAGGAGAAAGGGAGGAAGAGCAAAGGTCTCTAACAGATAAATTAGATCCCCTTCAAAGCTTTCCTGGAAGCTTTATCCACTTCCGTCTTATTGGCTAGTAATGTGGGAAGCTAGGAAATGGACATTTTTTTCTGGGTGTCTGCTGTTCCGTTATAGAGAAAAAGAAGAGGAAGAGAACAGTTAGGTAGGCAGTCTCTGCTCCTTTGTGATTCTTGAGCCTTAGAAGGGGAAGAAATAGCCAGTGACACTGGACACAGCTCAGGAGGGTACTTGAGACACTTCAAAAGCACACAGGGACCCAGGAGAACGGTGAGGCTGTGCAAGTGGGGCACTTCGGCATGACGTATCCACGGGTCCAGGCCTGGAGCAAGGCAGGAACTTTCTGGGCAGCGCTGTACAACACTGTCTCAATTCAGGACAGAAAGAGTGAAGAGACAGCCGGGGTCTCCCAGGGCCTCTTAGGAGCTAAAAGGCATGCTGACCCTAGGAAACCTTCCCAGTCTCCACCTCTTCCTGAGCTCCTGACGGAGTGAACACAGGGATCTCATAGGAAAAAGTAGGGGGCAGGCTGGAGGACACGGAGCTGCCCTGGTTGGGATTCTTCAAAAGAAGCCAGATTCGCTGATTTTTCTGTCAAATCTCAGCACATGTATATAAAGGTTAAGGCTGGCAATTCAAATGAATTCTAACCACTCCAGATTCTACCACAGCGTGGCTGCTTATAGCGGCCCTGACGGGAGTGACTTCCGGTGTGACAGCCAAGGAGGTGCCCATTCAGAGGACTGTGATGTTTATCCACAACCTAGAAGAGAAAACAGAATTGAGATTGGGCCTAGCAAAGATTTCCTTTAAAAAATGCTCTCAGACTGGAACAGGGTAATGTCAAAAATATTGCTACCAATCTGTCTATGTGATAGACTTTCTGATTTTCCATCCCTTTATTCTCTGTAATTAAGGGCATTTGCATGAGAAACCAATTTTTTGCCATGCTAGAGACTATTAGGTCCCTGCAGCCATGTTCCCAAGCTGTGGCCGAGGCTGTCATTGGAGCCTTGGTGACCTTGACAATGAAGGGACATCATCTTCAGGTGGGGAGCAGCCCACCCCAGACGACAAGCCTCCCTCTCCACTCGACAAATGTCTGTCGTAATTAAGGATGCAGGAAGAAACAGACAAAATATCATACAACCACTAATAGACTTTTCCTTTTAAAATGTGCCAAGAAATCCCAACAGCAACTTAATGGGAAAAGATGATATTCTCTGCTCTCAGATTTATCTGGATGTGTTCGGTCTTGCTAGTTAAATTTAACAGCAAGCAGTTTCTCTTGCTAACAACTATTCTCTCTCTCGTTTCCACTTCAGTTTAAATTTTGCCTCATTATGAATTAATAGTATTTATGCCATATGTTAAATTGAACCCAGTGCCCTTCTAAGGAGCACTTTGAAAAAGACATACTCACTGGCGAAGTACGCGCACCTTTCCTAGCTCCCACGCACAGGGCAGAAGTTGAACTTGGCTTTCATGTCTACTATCCATCCTCTCTCCAGGTTCCTTGAAGAGAACGAGAGGGGCAAAAATAACAGCACTCCAATTGAATTTGTTTGCAGCGTCCGTCTCTCATAACATGCTGCATAGATCAGCAGTTTTCCAAGTGAATTATGCTAATGCCAGGCCGGCCATATCCTATTCTTCTTTTTCACCAAGAAATGAGAAATAATGAACTGTCATTCTCTTGTCTAGACTTAAGTCTTATCGAACCAGCTTTTCGTGTCATTTCCTCAGGAGGCCTGTAACCACGGTACATATCACCAGGAATTAAGTGCCTCTTTTTTCTTTCTTTTTAAAAATTTGTTTTATAATAATTGCTGGGGTGTAGATGCTTCTCTCTCTGGGAAAGAGAAATTACCTAATTGATTCTTCAGCTTGGTAGCTTTCTTTGGGGGAAATGCATCTTTGTTATTCTCCTTCTATCAGATTACTAATTTGGGAGAGCACCCAATATAATTCATGCAGGATGCCTTTGACAAACTATCACATCCCACAGTGAAAGTCGACCTCAACTTGCATTTGCTGCATTTTCCTTGAAGGCAGCCTGGGAATTCAACAGTTGGCCCAAACTGGGTTTATTTCTAGGAGATGTAGGGGTCCCCTGCACTGTGGGCCTTCCCTTCACTAGGGGCTGTTCCACTTTGAAATCCCTGCCCTCACCCTTGTGGCTTCTGATCCTGGTCTCCTTTTGAATTGGAGGACCTTTTTTTCTCTTTCCCCTTTCCCTCTCCACTCCCTTTTATCATAAGGAGATATTAATATGTTTCACAATGGGGAGCTATAGGGGGTTTTATTCTTCAAGAGGCAGCATGGTAGGGTAGCGCATTCTAGAATTGAAGTGTAAAGGGCCTTCCTTCCCCCTTTGCCATTTACTGCTCAGTGACTTTGAAAATGTTCCCATGCTGTGCTAATCCCTTTTCAGCAATACGGAGATTCTAGGCCTGGGATGTCCACCATGACTCTTAAAAATGCGTACATTTTAAACCAGCCTTGTCTTATTCCTCCTCTCACCAGATGTTTAAAAATGTGCTTTTGTTTTTTTTAAAAAAATAAATATTGATCATTTGTTAGCGTTTATATTTTAGAAACCTCTCCAGGAAAAAAAATAAGCTTCTTGCTTATACAGAGAAGAATGAACACAAAAGAAATTCTATAAATAGGATTTTATGGAGTGGGAAAGTTGGTTCCTAAATTTCCCATGAGACATCAGCAGTTAAAAAGAAATGGGGATGATCATTTCAAATCTTTCTATATGTGAGCTCCTAATGAACTTGAATGATTTGTGATTCTCTCCCATCATATTGCCCAAATTCCCTTGATTCTAAAAAACAAAAACCAAGCCAACTAACAAAAGTAATTTCTTCACACTGGTTCTACATCATAGAGGAAGAATGCAAACTGTCAGGCTCCACTTCCCATGAGTGACAGCCACTGAGGAAGTCCTTGCAAGGGCCTGGGACAGTGAGTAGCCTCATTCTCGGGATACAAATCAGAGCTTCTCAGACTTGCTCAAGGTCACACAGCAAAGCCAAGAGTCGATGAACTCAGGAACCCTTGACTCCAAAGGTGATGTTTTCTAGTTTCATTTCTGGCTAATCCTTCCCTAGGAATTTTTCTGGCTTCTTGTCTTACCATATTTCTTGAACTTCTCTTCTGCTGCAGAATTTATTCTTCCACTCGTGAGTCATTTGAAGACCTGCATCCCAGAGCTTAAAGGGAAACTGTTGTCAATGATTAGGAGCTACCCAACCCTTTCTTTAAAAATCCAGACTCTGAAATAGACCTTCTGAGGGCAATATCTAAGACCCTTTCAATCTGTTCTGCCCCCCCCCCAGGCCCAAAATACTGCCCACCCTGTGGGCAAAAATAAATTCTACATTGAGTGGATTAAATGGGTGAAAAAAAATCATTCCAAAGTTTTGACATCTTGACCTTAGCTTCATTCATTCCCTCTTTGAGCCCATTGAGAATGTTTGGTGACCACAGGGACAAATGTAACAAAATATGTCACGCTGAGAACCTGGTTTTCTTTCCCCAGTCTTCTGTCCCAATGTTTCCCAACAGGAGAGCTCTGGTGGCTCCAGCCTACTGGTTCCTGAGACTCAGTTCCTGGGTTCCTGCTCTGGCTCTGGGCTGGCCACATCCCCACAAGTCCCAAGCCCACTACTCCATCCTCAGGGGGAAACATACATGTGGATCCCAGCTGCATGATCTCAGGAAAGTCCTGTCCCTTCTCCTACACCTCAGCTTACCCTTCACTGAAATGGGACTAGAAGCTCCTCCCTCATAGAGTGGGCATAGAGATTCCGAGAGCTCAGGAGCAAGAAAGCGCCCAGCATACAGGTGGTGCCCAAGAAATGCCTACAGAATCAAAATTCCTTTAAAGCATGTCTCTGGAAGCCAGTATGGATCCCTCCTACCTCTGTCCTGGTAGCAGATGTTGCAATCAACTGTATCAGCAGCATTGCCAGGGAGGATGAGTTACCTTGGAAAGGGATAAATGGAGAATTCTCCTTGGTAAATTACGGCTCCTGCTAAAGGTTTGACACTTCTATTTTCTTCCTGTCAGAAAAAAATAACTATATACCAGTGGTCAGTTTGGTTTCCTTTTTAAATACGCCATTAACCTACAGAGCAAGCCAGGCAGTGCTCAGTCCTGTGGGAAAACAGGTAGTCCAAAAAGACACCGATATGGTAATTAGAGCAAGCCTGTGGCCCTTTCTAATGAAGCTTTGGAAATTATCAGTAAAGGGTGTCAGGATACCCCTGGAGAGACCAGAGCCTTGTCCCCAGCAGAAGCCAATAGAGATAGCCATCCCGGTGACAGGTGATGTGAAAAGCTTGGCGTCCACTGACATGTTGTTACTGGTGTTCAATAACTGTGCACTGATGTGCTTTGAAGTCTGCCACGGTGACTTGTGATTGAAATACGGAGCAGGAGCCCCAGGAGGAAGCAGGATGTGAATTGATGGCCTGGGAAATGTGGATGGGAAGGAAGAAAAGAGGGTAGGGAGGAAGGAAGGCAGACAGCAAATGTTCCAGGACTTAAGGAGTAACCGCCTCGTCCAGGCACCACTGTTAGGCATCTGTGTAGGTGTAGGGAGGGTTTCTTGATGCCCAATCCTGCTGCCAATCAAGGCCTCACCTGTATGCTTCCTAAGGGAACTGTCCACATGAGGGATAATGACAAATTTGAAGTCAAAGAACCATTTTATCATTAGCTGGCACAATGGATGTGGATACTTTCGAAAAGTTGAAAGGAGCATTGAATATACTTCAGCCAGCATGACATCTAGCCCGAGTCTAGCTTCTAGGACTCCCAGGCAAAGCCAGCCTGCCTGGGGACTCATCTCCCAGCGTGATCCTGTCCAGCAAGGTGGCACACTGGCAAGCCAAGGGCCACCTACAGTCTGCACAGAGAACCAGAGCCCTGGGACCTAGACCCTCTGGCTAGGAGCCCCCCTGCTCCAATGGATCAGGACACTCGCTCACTGAAATGCCGGGTTCAGGCAGCCTGCAGGTCGAAGAGAGTTCTGGCTCTGGGAACAGAAAAGGGAAAGGGGAGGAGAGATCAGGAAAAGAAATAGCCATCCTTGCAGGCTTTTTCAGTAAGCCAGAGTGTCCCTTCCTGTTTCCATCCTCACAAAGGAGATGGGATTCTAAACACCCCTACTGTGGCTTGGATAAGGAGTACAATTGCTGACATCAGACTGAAAACCTGGTGACTTTGGCAAATGTTTGGAGCTCAAAAGGGCACGCTCTCCTCCTGATGTTTCTAGGTGGCTATCAGAAAGTCAGGATCAACATCAAAGGGCCTCCAACCACACCCACACTGGCTCAGCTCACACAAAGGGGCATGGCCCAGCTGTGTTATTCTGCTTTGTAAATCTGGGGCTTAGTGTGGCTGATTCAGGATTTATGTACAATCCTCAGGGGACAGATTGAGGCGGGTGAAGTACGGAAACACTGAGCCTCTGTCTGTAGATGTGGCCTTGGGGACCCATTTGGGAAGCACCTGGTTGGGGGGAGGGGATTGCTTCTGGACAGGAGTGATGCCTTCAGCCTGTGCCAGTAATGGCTGTCATCAATGGGTCTTCTGAGCCTGACACCAGCCACTGCCTGGATGCTGGCAGGAGGAAGGTGTGTGTGCCCAGGGACTAATCAATAGGAAGGTGGTGTTACATGCATCGAGGCTATTTTTTGAAATGTGGAGTTCCCAGGTGGGGGCTCCATGGCTGTATAAGGTCAGGTTGGCCCTGTGACTGCCTATGCATTTCCTAGGTGAGGAGAGTAAAATCTTTACTCTCCTGTGTTGCTTCTTACAGGGTCACTGATCCCATCCATGAGGGCTCCACCCTCATGGCCTAATCGCCCACAAAGGCCCCACATCCTTATACTACACACCAGGAGACAGGATTCTAGCCTATGCATTTGAGGGGGGACACACGCAGTCCGTCCAGAACAGGCCCGGAGGAGAGATGGGACAGGATGGGATTCAGCCAAGCAGTGACACGTTTGCCGTTTGCCTTCCTGTCTTTGGCAGGAACTGCAAGCTCAGCAGCAGCAGCTTGTCCATGGCCGCCGTGGATATTCTGTACATCGACATCACGAGGAGGTGGAACTCCATGACACTGGATCAGCGGGACTCAGGTACCTGATGACTGGCTCTGGCGAGTCCTTGTGGAGGCCCCACCTGCGCAGCACGGGGAATGAAAGCTGAGGGTTTGGGGTAGGGGTGGGTGCATCTTTTGTTCCTTCTTATCAAGGGGGAAGGATGAGGAGGATCCTCTCCACTGGAGACATCATTCCAGGAATTGAGCTGAACTCACACCCCAGGCGCTAATTCCACCATTAGCTGTCCTAGTCTCTGCTTAAGGCTTTTGCTCCATCTATACTGGACATAGGACAGTCTGCTCTGCATTCATCCATTTGTCCTACAACACACATTTGCCGAACGCATCCTGGCCGGGCCATGGGTGGACTGGAGTGAAGAACTGAAGAGTGGCAGCAGCTGAGGAAAGGATGCTGGTGCAGGGGGTGTGGAATGGGAAGGAGAGAAACTCAGGGAGGCTATCAGGGAGCTCTTTATTTGGGGAGGGCCAAGGAAGACATGTTGGAGAAGGGTGTGAGCCAGTGAACAGGCTAGAGACGGGCACATGGGCAGGGGTGTTGCCCAGCCTAGGTGAGAGGCACTGAGCTGGCACCACCCCAACCAGCTCCATGGGGCTGGAGCAAAAAGAAAGGGAGAAGGGGTGGATGGAGTTGTGGAAAGCCTTGAATGCCACACCAAAGAAGCTGACCTTGACCCAGTAGGTTATATGGTGAAGGATTCTACTGGGAGAAGAATCCACCTTTGGGACAATGAGTTTCTAATCTTTTTCCTCACAGAGGTTGTTTTCTAAAAGGACAAAATAACCCTAACTGACATTTGTACAGTTCATCTCAAGCTGCATATTCCTTCATTAAGTAACCCCACCATCCAGTGCAGAAGGCCTCATGAGCCCCATTTCACAGATGGGTAAACTGCAGCACAGGTGACCAACATCCCACGGTTACTGAGAGCCAGAATCACCGCCCTCCTGCTCCGCTTGGCTGCCTCCCTGCAAAAGGGACGCACCGAGGAAGGGGCCCCGGGAGCACTTTGACCAGACTCAGTGGGAAAGAGGTGCAGCCAGACATCGAAAGGTCCAGGTTGGAATTGGCTTGGCCATTTCCTGCCAGTCTCATCTTGAAAGCTGTTTCACCTCCTAGTCTCAAGTTCTCCATCTGTAAAAGGGCACTGACACTGCCTACTCTCCAGGTGTCAATGAAGATGAAAGCATTTGGGCCATTGCTGACCATGCCAGGCCGATTATTTTGTTTTTATTTTCTGCAGTGCTGGGGATTGATTCAACCCAGAGCCTTGTGCACACCAGACAAGTATTCTGCCACAGAGCTGCATCCCCAGCCCTGCACTTAATCCTGTTAGTAGACATCTCTCAGGGACAGTCCCATGAGAAGAGTGTCTGACCACTGGTGCTGTCCTTGCTTTCCCGTGCCCGTGTGGACCAGACACCTCCCGACCACAGGGACACAGCAGGGATCTCAAGCCGCTAGCACTCAGAGATCATTTTTCTGATTGGCTTTGTGTTGGATAATGCTATTTGGTAATGGTGCTACTGATGCCAGTTGTTGGCTGTTTCCTATATGCCGAGCACCCTGCCAGGCACTTCACATGTGTGTCACTGGCTAGAATTCTCCTGGAGGTAGATGTGATTATGTGTCCATTGTACAGAGGAAGAAACTGAGGTTCAGTGGCATAGCTAGTGGACAAAACTCAAACAGCAATCCACCTGGGCTCCCTTTCTGGGTCACTTCCTCCTATTAATTGGTCCATAAGTAAGATAACCACTGAGTTCCCTGCTCTTCTTTCTTTAATTCAACAGCAAAAGTCAGGGGATACCAATAGTCATTGGATCAACAATAACTTTTGCATCTCTGCAGTTGACAGCTTTCTTACAGCCTCCCCTGGCAACTAGGAGAGGCGTGAGATGGAGCACCTGCAGAATTACGCAGATTAATTATCATTTCGAGGACCAAGTGCGCTCATGTGACAATTGAGCGGCGTCACTTTTTGCTGACACCTTCAGAAAGTGAAGTGTTTGCTCTGTGAGCTGAATGCAGGGTGACATCACAGGATCCTGTGGAGGGGGCCAGATAAGGGGGTGGGGGTGGCAGTGAAATTATTAAATATTGAAATTGATCAGGAGTAGCAGCAGGAAGCTATTTATCATGTTTTATTGCTTCAAACTAGCATTACCATCTGGCCCATTGTTAATTCCGGGTAGCTTTTCATGTTTTGTTTGTCTCTTAAATTGCTCCCTGTAAGCGGAATCCATGGGGGCTGTCCACAACACAGGCTCCTGGGGGGCTTCAGGGGTCTGCCAGGGTCTCTCCACTCTGCTGACCAAGCTAAGAAAATGAGAAAAATATTTATTTTTAGCATGAGCAAATCTGGGGCTGGGAATCCCAGAACTTTTGTATCCCTCAGTCACTGAATGTGTGGAGTTGGGCATTAGGGCAATTTTGAGATGATCTCATATGCGTATATATCGCTGTCACTCCGACCAGGCCTCTGAAGTACATAATAGTGCCACATTTTGCAGATGAGGATTCTGAGGTTCCCCGAGCAAGAATGACTTGTCTGTAGTCTGATACCCTATGAGTAGCAAAGGTGAGATCTGAGCCCCATCCTCCTGCCGAATGGCCCTGGGTGCACAATCTGGGGCCACACCGGGCACTGCTTATTCATCTGAGTGACAGCAGAGGGGTCAGGTTGGGAGCCAGGGATCAAGTACACGGCAGCAGAGAGGCAAGCTGACAGTGATGCTCTGTTGTCTGAAAGAGCAGTTTCAAATGTTGAAATGATGCGTGTTAAAGGTGATGGACATGGTTTTAGCCTGTTTTGATGATTGCACCGTGTATACATGTACTGAAACATCACACTATATCCCATAAACATGTACAAATACTATATGTCAAGAAAATGATTTTTTAACTCAGCTTAACCTGCGCAGAGCCTACAGGGAGGATGGAACTTGGGGTTGGGGATGTCAAAAGCTTCTGTCTCCCTTCTTTCATTCTCAGACGTTATATTTTGGTTCCTACTGCTACTGAAAGGAAATAACAGGGGGGAAGGGCTAGGAAGCACTGAGCATTAAAGCCTGAAATTGGAACCTCTCTGTGCCCACAGTTTTGCAGCTGGTACAGGCAGGGCCCAGTTCTTGCCTCCTTCTCAAGGCTGGTCCCACACCCCTGACTCTCAGGGAGAAAGGGGCCTCTGGAGCCAGCCACTTTTCCAGAACCATTCAGCAGCTCTTGCAGAGCAGAATTCTATGGCTGCAGGTGGTTCTTGCTTTCTTCCTTCCTTCCCTCCCTGGTGTGGAGCCAAAGGATTCCCAGGCCCGGGGTTCCAGTTAAGTGCTGGTCAGCACAGTGGATACTGCCAAGGGAGACAGCTCTGTCTATCCCAGAGCTGCTGTAGGTGGACAAAAAAGAAGTCTTTGGGGCTGGGGGTGTGGCTCAGTGGAAGAGCCTGTGCTAAACTTGCAAGAGATTCTAGCTTTGATCCCCAGCACCAAAAACAAAAGATAACGGGTAATAAACATGTCACCCAGAATTGGACCCTGTGGGAATATAAAGATAAATTGCTCACAGATCCTATCCTTCTTAAGAAGGAATCATAATAGAGACCATTCACTGAAAGTCTGCTATGTGATAGAAATAGCATATGTTTGTATGCGTTATCTCATTTAATTCTCACACTATCTTATAAGGGTTGTTACTGCCATTTGAAAAATAAGAAACTTGAGGCTCACGGGGGTGAGATTAAGCAGACACAAGGCCTTACAGCAGGGACCGTGAGATCAGAAGTGAGATCAGTCTGAGCCCATTTGCCCTTTATACTGTAGCTATGGTCTCTTGATCACACGAATGGCTCTGCCAGTTGATAATCATGGAAGGCCATGACCAGAGGTATCATGGAGTCTGGGGAGGAGGGCTTCTGAGAGGGTTTAAACAGAGCACACACACACACACAGCACTTAGCATAGTAGGCAACCCAGAAAAGACACCCACTGCGTGTCTGTACCCTGCAGGGCCTACTACCTTACCTGGAACACACAAAAGCATCTCCCTCAGCACCCAGTAAGTGCTCAAAGAGTGGACAAGCATCAAAATTAAGACGCCCACATCTTCAAAGCAGGAAGGTCATAGCGTGAGAACCATGTCTTACAGTAGAGGTATCTTGGACAGGTTCTCCTTCCCATTGCTGAATGCCCAGGCTAAGACACCTTGCACAAGGTGACTGTCCACTGCCAGCACAGCTGTGTCAAAGTCCTAATACATCCTCCTCTCCACCAAGCCAGCCCAGCCCTTTCTTCTGATCCAATGAGACTTCAATGCCTACCAAAGAGGTTTATCAGATTCCTGATGCTTGAAGCCATTATGAACACAACCTATATGAAGAGACCTTGGTATTGAACTGGAAAAGGAAATGATATTCAAAAAGACTAGTGAGGAAAAACATGAAAACCAATAAGAAAGCACGTGGACATGGTGATATCTCAAGGAGCAACCTTTTGAATAGCCTTGTTCTTTGTTTTGCAGTGCTGGGGACTGAACCCAGGACCTCCTGCATGCTAGGCAAGCACTCTTCCCCTGAGCCACATCCCCAGCCCTATAGTCTTGGGTTTGACTGTTTGCTTTGTTTTCTGTTGGACCTCAGGTACATGGAATCAGATTAATCACCATCTTGGTTCGTGAGACACTTCTATCATGGTCCATACCCAGCCTGCTCTTATGTACTTAACTTTTTAAATTTTGCATTTTAAATAATGGAATAAGCACCCCAAAACAAAAGCTAGGACTTGAAGGTAATTTGCATGTAACATCTGGCTCCCCAGCCAAGAACACTCGTCTGCACCCTCCTCTCATCTTCCCTAAATAGGCCATCTTCATCTCCCTAGAATGTCAAAGACAGTTCGGGAGCTTGATGGAATTTAGTAATGCACAGTCTCACGCTCTCCAGCATGCGAATGTAATTGTCATTTTTTTTAAATTAAGGATTTTAATTTCCATTTCTAGAATTTCCAGCAGAACACAGAAATCTAAATGAGGGTGTTATCGGCAAAACTGGGGTGTCGTAGCCCTCTCCTGAGCCAGAATCAAATGAAAAAATGATTTGGCTGTGAGGTGCAGTTATTTCATGTAAATTGCACTCATGAGTTCCTTCTTATCACAGACACTTTGCTCCCAACTCCTTCCAGAGTGGAGTCGCGAGTCTCCGTGAGTAGAGATGAAGAGGGCATCAAGGTCAGACAATAAAAGGAGCTGTCACTCATGTCAGCTAGGAGAGACAAACAGTTCACCTGCAAAGGGCACATCTGAGCCCAGCACCTAGGCATCTGATCCATCTATAGTCCCAACATCTGGGGGCCTGAATCTCGGCTCCCTTTGCAGCCAGATGTTTTGCCATTTTAAGAAAGATGCTAAAGGTCCCTCCCAGTAATCAGCTGAACGGGAAAAAATGGATTGCATCCCTCCCACCCCTGCATGTCCCATGAAAGTGCGCGCGCGCGCGCACACACACACACACACGCACACACACACGCACACCTTGGTTGGACTGGGACATTGAAGAGCACATAGTATAATATTTGATATAGGCTAGACCTTTTGACCAGAATAGGAACCATTTCTTCCACTGCTTGCTGAACTCCTGAGCTACATAACCCCATTTTAGAGCTGCCTTGGCTTGACTAGCAATCTGCTTAAAGCCATGGGCTCTGGATTCAGACAAGCCTGACTTTGAACCTGGGCTTGATCATCTGGTAGCCAGGTGACCCCAAGCAGTTGTTTAACTTTCTCTGAGCCCCCTTTTCATTAGCTGTGAAGCAGAGATAATAATGGTGCCCATCTCACAGAAACACTGATATAGAAGGAGTGAAACAGCATGGAAAGTGCTCAGAGTAGTGTCTGCCCCTACTGGTTACTGAACGCTGGTTGCATTCAGCAAACCAGGCTGTCAAGATTGTGATCACATGGATCTCCCTGCATGCCTTTCTCAGGAGTTCTTCACTGGGCACCTGTTCCTGCCAGGTCTCTGTGGGTTCTGGGGGCAGAATCAGGAAGAAGGAGCTGCCTCGCTGTGTACCCAGAGGGTGGACTTGGTTGCAATGGGCTGTCCCTTGGTGCTGGACAGAGTCCAGGCCTCCTCACCCTCCCTCCCCTGTTTATCTTAGCACACTGTTGGGGGCTGTGGCAGACTCCAGCGTGCTCTCTCTCTCTCTCTGAATTTATTTTGTCAGTACTGGGGATTCATATGGAGCTACAGCCCCATCCCCTTTTTATTTTGAGACAGGGTCTTGCTAAGTCACTAATTTGACCAGATTGGGCTCAAATTTGTAATCCTCGTATCTCAGCCTCCCAGAGTGCTGGGATTACAGACATGCACCACCACACCCATCTATCTGATTCATGCTTCAACTCAGAGTCCACCACCAGCTGCCACCAGCTGGTTTCACAATTCCAACCCTGGAGAAAATATCTGAGTGACTGAGGGTCTCACAGATTGGACCCCTGCCCCTCTGTGGCCACCCATCCCATCACCAGCTACATTCTCCCTCACTCTACCCAGAGTGGCTGGTGACCTCTGAATCCTCCAGTTGTGCTCTGGCCTCTGCTGGAAATCCCTCCCCTTGGGCACTGTGGCCTGGGCCCACTTCCACAAGCAGCTGTCCTCAGTCCCAGGCAGAGTTCCAGCCCCTCTCATCTGCTCCCAGGACTGCCAGGTGAACAAGTGTGTGCTGCCTGTCCCTAGGTTAGACTGACCCTAGGACCCTTCCACCCTCCTGAACCTCAGCGCTGTGCCTGGCACATAGGAAGTGCTCCAGAAACACACCTTCGATGGATCAGGTGCCAGACCACGACAGCCAGCCAGTCCTGTGGGTGTCTGAATCTTGTTCCTGTCTCTCACCGAATTTCCTCAGTCGACTTATGCAAATCATCTGACGCCTATACTTTCATCAGCTGGAATGAGCCCCAACTGAAATGCATTTGGTTCCCGATGTACTGAAATATTTAAAAGTATTTTTACTTGGAATGTTTAGCAGAGCCTCCCTTATGCATATCCATGGGTGCCCCCACCCCACTGGGAGATGGGACCTGAAGAACTAGGCCGGTCTTGCACAGCGCTGTGTGGAGGTGTCTGGCGCCGACTGCGTTCTTCAGCCTTGAAATTATCTCGCAGTCAGATGGGCCTCTCTGGATGCGTGCCCTACACGCATTTACAAAATAGTCGGTGTCAGAATTATTTTTAATAGAAGCGAGTGAGCCAATAGAAATGCCACCCTGCCCTCCCCCATCCGGACACTGGTCTTGGGGCCTGCTAAATATAGGCTGTGCTCTGAGGGGTGCATTCATACCTACCGCCCAGGCCGAGAGAGTGCCGGTCCTTCCTCATCCTCTCTCTCCTGAAGGGTGGGGTGAACAGGATGTCTGCCCATAGCTGGGCTCCGCCCCCAGAAACAGAAGAGAGACGAGCAGAGCTCTTTTTCATGGCCTCCTCACTCCTCACAACTGCTGCTTCTCATCCCCAGATCTTGGGGAGCAGCAGCTCAGCAGTGCTCAACACCGTGAAACAAGCGGGAGCTGCAGAGTCAGGCTGGACTGCCCTACCTGCATTGGCCAGCACTCCACCACTGAGAGCCTGAGTGGCCTCTGAAAGGACACATCTGGCTGGGCCGGTTATTGAGATTTAGTAAGGATGTGTGTGCCTGGATTGAATGCTGCTTTTCAGCCATTGCCACCATCCCTGTTGTGTGTGTGCTTTACACATTATAAAACACTTTCAACCGAAGTCACCCTCTCCCAGGGAGCTTGGTCTTGCTCATGGCTCCATTACAGAGGAGGAACCAAGGCTTGGAGGGGTAAAGAAAGCACTCATGCAGGGAGTTGGGGACAGGAAGGGAAGGAGCCTCAGGTTTCAGATCTGGGCTGCTCCTTGAAGTGACAACACTCAACAAGCTCATGAAGATATGAGCACTGTGCCAGTCCCAAAATGTCCCCAGGCCCAGGAGCTGGGCAGCACTGTTTCATGAACCAGTCTGGTCCCTGGTTGGGCCATAGGGTGACCATAAGGTGATGGTTGCATCCAGGAAGCACTGCATTTGGGCAGGCCCTTCTCCACGCGGCAGAGGAGTCATCATGTAGTTTGCACAGTTGTCGCTGTTGCAAAGCATCTCGCTGGATGCTCCTCACTGTGCTGCACTGAAGAATCTCTCTTATCTCCTACTTTAGCTGAAACAATGAGTTCTAGTCAAAGGAGAAGCCATTCCAGGAGCTCCCAGCCTGTGAGTGGAAGTGTTTAGACCAGGAACCAGCTCTCCCAACTGAATCTGCTCCAGCAGGCTGCCTCATAACGTGGGGTTGACAACAATGCGAGCTGCACTTATGCAGCACCTAACATGGGCCAGGTGCTCTATAAGCCCTTTTTAATCAACAGACTTTATTTTATTAGAACACAGAGCAAACAATACAGAGAATCCTCCCTTCTCAATACACAGTTACCCCTAAAATACCATCCTGTATTATTGTGGTACAATTAACAAAAATTTGTTATGACTAAAATCCAGTTCCTATTAAAGTTCACTCTTGCTATTGTACAGTTCCATGGGTTTTGACAAACACATAATGACATGTATTCACAATTACAGCATCAGACAGAATAGCTTCACTGCCTAAAAATCCCCTGTGTTCCACCTGTTCATCACTGCCCTGGTGCCCCTGGCAACTACTGATCTTTTTTCTCTCTACTTTTGCGTTTTTTAGAATGTCATATTGTTGGAATCATACCATATCTAGACTTTTCAGACTGCTTTCTTTCCTTTAACAGCATACATTTAAGTTCCTCTGTGTCTTTTGGTGGCTTGATAGTTCATTTGCTTTTATCTCTAGATAATAGTCCATGGAATGGATATACCACAGTTTGTTAGTCTATTCACTTATTGAAAGCCATCTTAGTTGCTTCCAGGTTTAGCAATCATGAGTAAAGCTGCTGTAAGTGTTTGTGTGCAGGTTTTGTGCAGACATATATGTTTCCAACACGGATAGACAAATAACTAGGGACTTTTAGACCCTAGTGTGATGTTTACCTGACTGGACTGGCTTGAGGAATTCCCAGGGGACTGGAAACACATTGTTTCTGACTGTGTCAGCGAGGATGTGTTCAGAGGAGGTTGTCGTGGGAGTTGGTGGACCAAGGGGGAAGATCTGCCCTCAATGTGGGCGGGCATCGCGCAGTCACCCTGGGACCCAGATAGAGCACAAAAAGGCAGAGGAAAGGTGATTTCCTCCTGCCCCTCCCCATGGGCTGGGACACCTTTGCCTGCCCTTGGACATCAGAACTCCAAGCTCTCTGATTTATACATTTTGCTTTCCCACCAGAATTGATTGTCGTTTCTGTTGCTCCGTACCCTTTTTAACTTAGGATAGTCAGTCTTTGAGTATAGCCATTCTAATAGGTGTGGTACCGCATCATTTTAATTTGAAATTTTCTAAAGATGTGTGATGTGAAGCATACTTTCACATGCTTACTGGCCATCTTCTTTGATGAGGTTATTCAGATCCTTAGCCCATTTTTTTTCAAATTGGGATTTTTTTTCTTATTGTTAAGTTTTAAGATTTCCTTATATATTTTGGAGGGAGACAAGTTCTTTATCAGATATATATTCCATAAATATTTTTTCTCAATCTCTAGCTTATCTCTTTGTTTCCTTTTTTAAATTCCTCAGCCCTCTGTGGTACTGGGGAGTAAACTCTGCCTCATGTGAGTTAGACAAGTGCTCAACCCCATTTTCTGAACAAAATCTTTCTCAGAAGTTTTTAATTTTAATTAAGCCCAATTTATCAACTTTTTCCCCACGGCTCTTGATTTTCGGTAATACATGTTAAATCTCATAGCCAAATCCAAGATCACCTACATTGTCTTCATTTCTCTGTGAACTAATAAAACGTTATTTGAAAATGGATGTATTAATTATAAATATATATTGCAAACTCTAAGATAATGACTCATTTAAAAAAAAGAAGTGTGGCATGTGCCTATTATCCCAGCCACTTGGAAAGTTGGGGCTGCAGGATCATTTGAGCTCAGGAGTTGGAGGGCAGTCTAGGCAATGTAGTGGGGCCTCAACTTTGAAGGAGAAAGAGGAGGAGGAGGAGGAAAAAGAGGATGAAGGAGAAGGAGAGTGAGGAGAAAGAAGAAGAAAGAAAAAGAAGAGGAGGAGGAGGAAGAAGGAAGAAGAAGGAGATAGAGGAAAAGGAGGAATATTCTAAAAGAAGACATAAAATTCAATCGTATAAAATGTTCTATTAAAACTAGAAAAGTTAGAGAGAGAAAGAGAGAGAATTTTTAAAAAACAATACAATAAATAGAAAGCACTCACAACCACAGTAGCTGTCCATCCAATTATATCAGTAATTATTTCAAATGTGAATGGTTTAAATATACCAATTAGCATACAGAGACCATTGAGCAGATAAAACACAAGACCCAACTAGATGTTGTTTCCATTTTTAACATAAAAACATAGATAAAAAGTACAGAGATGAAGAAAGTTATACCGTATTCACACAACTAAAATAAAGTTGGAGTAGTTATATTAACTATTTGACAAAGGCTACAAAAAAAAATTATCAGAGGTAAAGGCCTGATAAAATTATCAGAGACAAAGAGATCAGTTCTCCAGGGAGGTAAACAAATCCTTGACACATATCTGCCAACTGGAGAATCGAAATATGTGTGGCAAAACCACAAAGAAGAGGAGACAAATCCATGACTAGTTGGAGGCGTAAACACTCCCCCATCAGTAAGTGACAGATCCAGCAGGCAGAAAATTGGTCAGGATACATTTGAACAGAACAGCACCATCAATCAACTGGGGCTAATGGACATATTTAAAATACTTCATCCACCAAGAGCAAAATATACATTCTTCTTGGTTCACATGGAACATTCACAAGGATAGTGTACATTCTAAGACATAAAACACATTTTAGCAAATTTAAAGGAATAGAAATCACACAGAGTATGCCTTCAGAGTACACTAGAATTAAACTAAAAATAAAAAACAGAGAGATAGTTAGGAGATCCCAACATGATTGAAGATAAAATAACACATGTCTAAACCACATATGTTTCCTCTGCTTCTGTATTCTGGAAGTGATTGCAGAGAATTGGTCTCATTTCTTCTTTAAATGTTTGGTAGAATTCACCAGTGAACCCATCTGGCCTGGTGCTTTCTTATTGGTGAAGTTAATTATTTATTCAATTTCTCTAATAGATAACAATTTATGCAGATTATGTTTTTCCTTGTGTGAGTTTTAGAAAATTGCGTCTTTCAAGGAATTGACCCATTTCGTCTAAATTACTAATTTTGGAGGCATAAATGCATTCATATGTCTTTATTATTCTTTTCATGTACCTGAGAGCAGTAGTGATAATCCCTCTTTCACTTCTGATATTGCTAACTTGTAATTACTAATTAGCAATATAGTAATGTTCTTTTTTTTTGGTTAGCCTGGCTAGAGATTTATTGATTTTATGGATAAGATCATTTCAAAAAGCTGCCTTTTGGCTTCATTGATTTTCTCTATTGATTTCCTGGTTTTAATTTCATTGATTTATTTTCTAGTTTTTGTTAATTTTTTGTTTTTCTTTTGCTAATTTTGGATTTAATGTACTCTTCTCCTAGTTTCCCAAAATAGAAGCTTAAATTATTGATTTTAGTTCTTTTTTTTCCTATATATGGATTCTATGCTATAAATTTCCTTCCAACTGCTGTTTTCACTGTGTCCCACACACTTCAATAAGCTCTACTTTCATTTTCACTTAGTTCAAAATATTTTAAACTTTTTTTCAAGACTTCTTTTTTGAGAGGTTTTATATTTATCTTGCCAGGAGCCAGACTGTCCTGAATGTTTGCCATAGCAGTGGGTACCAGAGGCTTGGGTTTCCTCTCATTTTCTTGGTTGTGTTTTCTTCCCTTTGCCTTTGGGCTTCCCTAAAAACTCCTTCTTAAATGGAGCCTCTGTCTTTTGTCTGTTACAGCTGTAATCCATTGTTGCAATACCAGATCCCTATTGAGGTAGTGGCAAAGTGCTGAGGAGATAGAAGATTCTAGAATTTTAAGATTAAATCTCAGTTTCTCTGGGCTGTGATTTTCAGAAGTGTTTCTTGGCTCTTTTTTCCTCCCTGTACATGGGACAGGAAGGCTAGAGGTCCCAGGGTTGTCTAATTGTCCCCCTCTAACCCCAGTCAGATTCCCTTTGGTGAAGGAGTCACCTTTGGGGGAGCAGGGAAGGCCTTGGTTACAGGAGAAGGCCCTAGGCATGTTTCCCCCTAACCCTTGCCTGAGGCTTGAGGGGGTTTTCCTCCAATCTTCACCTTGAAAAAACCTGAAGGGCCTTGGGAGCCCCACTCTCAGAAGATGAGTGACCCCCTAAGACAAGATCTTCAAGAGTTTTCAACTACCATCCTAGTCCACACTTGGCCTCCAGTGACTGTCAGGTCAGTTCTTCCCAACTCCTTCTGGGTAGCTCCTGCCCTTCGTAAGCTGTCTCAGCTGTTGATTTTCTGTATTCACCCACCTCTCCAGCTTTCAGTGCAGCAGCCTGCCCTGTG